GGGGGGCGGGAAACCAGCGCTGCTTTCTTGAACAATAATTTTCCTGATTAAACATCTAGCTTGGCTGCGTAAATAGTGGTGTATGCACAAGAGCAGGGAGAGAAACACACACCTTGGGGATAGTGTGCACTCTGGGTAGGGCTGAAACGGATCACAGGTACACTAGTAGGACGTGTGGGTGTGGGAAGTCTGCAGTGAAAGGGCCACAGGTTGCCACTCTGCCTGGGTGACCAGTTGGCAGGGTCTAGTAAAATGCCACCCACAGCTGTACAGACAGACTGGAGCAGCAATCAGTAACTCTCCCATTGCGGTCTGCTCACAGACACCAGTGAGTACTTCAAATGCGCTAAATATACATCTGGGTCACTTGAAGACCCCGTCCTTCTCATACACAGCACAGCATCTTATACGCCTTTCACTTGAACTATATGAAAGCTTTGGTGTAAATCTGAACAACTACCAGGTGAATATGTAAGGACACTAATAACTGAGAGTCACTTTGGGCTGTAGGTGTTAAAATACAAGCCAAACCAACATTTTCCTTGTTTGCTTGTTTATAGCGTACTGGATTATTCGCCAGTGGAATGTAAAGATCTTAATTTATCAGTGTTGCTATTTTTTCTCCCTGTTTGTGAAAAGACCCTATGACATTTCTATGTGGGATCTTCTTCCAGCACGTCAACAGCTGTTTTGACAGGGTCCAAGTCCTGGTGCTCAAAGCCTGGTCCAGTAGGGACTCACATCCCTGCGTGCTGAACTGCTGGGGACAGGACAGCTGCCTTTGTTCTTCATCCATCTCCTGTGGACGGCATGCAGGTATCTGACAGTTCACAAAAGAAGTAATTAAAATCAATCTGTATGTGAAACACATTTTGATGGTTTGGACTTCCAGACCAAATCTTTTTTTTTTTTTTATTTTAAATGGCTGCTAATGTGCTAACCATCTTCCCTTCAAGCCTTCTGAGGATGATGTGGAGGATAATAGGTTTGTTTGGTGGATGCCTGAATCAGCTAAATTGCTAACTATACAGATAGCATATTAGTTGTGCAAAAGCACTTGCACTTCCCTATGAATGTTCATTTTAAAGTTAACTGGGATGTTCGAATGGCTTAGACCAGTAGTCAAAATCCTAAACAGCAAGTCTTACAAAAATATTCTACCCAAAGAAAAATAAATATTTTTCCATTTTAAGCACATCTAAATATCACAGGAAAAGTTCTGACTTTCAAACATCAAAGAAATCAAAATGCACAAGTTCTCAATCCTTCTGCTTCTACAACTAATTGCTTTAGAGCAAGAGTACTTCCTTCTTGTGGCTTTGTTGCAAACCCCTGGAACTAAAGAGCACCAGAATAATGACCTCAGCTGGGGTTAGTGAGGTGAACCGCAGCTCAAAGTATTCTTGAGAACACTTTTCTGAACACTAAGTATTTATTTTCAAAAATAAAAAAGGGAAAGAAATACAAAGCGGACCCAAAAAAAAAAAAAGAATTCCAAATCAGTTTTCTAGTATCCAGATATAATGAGCAATGACTTTGGTTTCTTCTGACAAGTAACCCTAAAAAAACCAAACCAAAAAACCACCAATCAAGCTCTATCTCTTTGAAAATATGGCACAGCACACGCGCCCTCTCCACCCAAAACAGAAGGAAAATGGAAGTAACTGATGTCAAACAGAGAACTTCTTTTTCCTTTTCTTCAAAGGAAAGTAAAGAAATGCTGACATCTAAAGTGGCATTAGGACACATCTGACACAGCACATATTAAGTATGAGTTAACACAAAATAAGTCTGATTAAGCAAACTCCATAATGAAGAAGAAATATGCAAACAATACGGAACATAATACCAAAAAAAGACAAAAGCCCGTGGCGGGTGTTCACCTAAGTCTCAGCCAAGAAGCAGTCTTGGCCAAGAAGAAGAGGTCAATTTTCTGCAGGCAAATGGCCGTACTTACTCTGTGCTTCGCAGTCCACGCAGTGGGAGTTGCCTCTGATGTTCCTTATGGACTGAAGAGCCATGGCCTCGTTCTGACTCGTCAGACGGGACTGAGCAGATTAAAAGAAATTCATAAACAACATGTAAGAAGCCAATAAAAAGGGTTAGATGACTCAACTGTGAGATGAACGAATGGCAAAAATGAAAGCATAGACAAAGGTTATCAAGGAACCTGAAGTCCTTGTCTTGCCTCTCAAGAAATGGTGATACTTTGGCATCTCCAAGTACTGCAACCCCATGACTGTCAAGCAAGGACTCCTCCTTCCTCCCATTTCTGACAGCTCGGGATTTCTCCCAGGGCTTTCACTGTCCTGTGCAGGAGCACCCAGCGTTCTGGGCTCTCCAGTCTGAATTCTAACAAGTGGGGAGACTGCACAGAGGAAAACTGAGCTTCAAAATGAATCCTGCTATTCGCGAGAACAGTAGTCATAGTGTAGGTCTACTTCTTGCGATAAATTAGATAAGAATATTATTTTATAAAATCAATTTCTTTTATTGATGGGTACGCTTTTGCTAATGAAGACTAAGGGATGATTTGCAAAACCAGCTCAAACCTTTTTATCATCAAAAGGTCAGATTTAATCAGACCACTTCCATTCTTCCATTTAAATTCTCTCCATGATGACCTGCCAATGACCTCTGCTTGGACCTAAAGAGACTGTTACAGTGTACAAATAGTTCGGCTCTATCAAACTAAACCATCTCATGGGCTTTATGAGAAGAAAACTATTAGCTGTACCAGATAATGGACTCCTTGCAACGAGCTGATTTAAGCAGGATGAGGACCAAGTCTTAAGTATGGCCAGGTGGCGATGAGTTCTCCTGATCTATCAACAGGATACCTACTAAACCCATCCAACTAACTACACTTTGCTATTCCAGCTAGTTCTTCTGACATGTTTTGAGATCTCCGTAACTCTAGAGAAAAAAACAACCTCTTTGAGCATTGTAGTAGGTTGAATATACAACCCAAAAAGCTCCCTCTACATGCATAATCTTATCAATGGATTCTCTATTCTATATTTAATACACACAGAGGCCAATCTTCTCTGTGCGTACTGTGTAGTAAACATCAGCAGCCACTCCTTACCCTCTTTTGTATTCGTATTTTTATATAGGTGATAGGGTACAAATTTCCTCTGTTGTGCTCCCTTAACACACACAGTCCAACGTGTAAATCCATGAAAGGCAAAACACCATAAGCATAAGAGATTTCTCTATCTCAGAAATAAATACTGGAAATAAATAATTTTTTTAAACAAAATGGGAAGTAAATTGTATTATGATGACGACAATTACTGGTGCCTGATCTACTCTGGTAGATCAGGGCAATGAGAGCAGGCCTTCATTTCAAAACACGAGTCGCTTCCTTGCAACTTAAAATCATTAGAGAATCTGCTAGGTGGATAATGTTAAAGGATCTACAGGTCTGAATAATCACTCCACAGTTCTCTCCCTCCACTACCACGCAACACCTCGCTCTGTAGTTGTAAAGTGTTTGCAAACACAGACACTCAAGAAGCAGAAGTTCTCTTGCCCTTCCAAAAATGAGCAATGGCTGAAGAAGTCTCAAATTTTAAACACTTCTTTACTTATTTTGATAGGAAAGGAGAACAAATTACTTCTGTCATCATACGAAAGTGTTGCAAGGTAGAAGACCTGCTGCTCTTAGGCCGTGTTCTTCTTCCCCCAAAAAGCTTTGATGAACTGTTTCTGGGTGTGCTTTTTGTTATATTAGTTAAGGCACAAAACCATAAAGAATTAATTCAGTGTAATTAAAGAAAACTTGTGCGTAGGCTTTGTAAGACTACAACTACAAAAGCAATAGCTTATTTCTGATTTCTGTGATTCGTGTTACTTCATCATGGCAGAACCCTATGACTGAACGCTACTGCACATTTATGGTCAGGCTAACCAGAATGTTTAGTTAAACTTTGCCACACTCAGTCATTTTTAAGTAGAAATTCAACTAGTAAATAAGCTAGTTTTTGGATGCCTCCACTCTTCTCCAAGACAGGCTTTTCCTAGTGGGCCTTCTGCAGACCTCTAACCTGAAGCAAACCTGAATGTGCAGCAGTGACGATGCTGTGCAACTTCTCAGTAGCAAGAGTCCATGACCTAGTCCCAACTTTCAGTCAAACTTTTAAGAGCAATACTGAAGGCAAAAAAGATAATCCAGGAGTTCCATTAACTTGATTGCTGTAAAAAATAAACTGCAAAACAGGCCACAGCACTGGCTGTCTTGAAAGAGCTGAGATATGCCTGCGGCTCTAATGCTGCTCTGTCGTGCACCTAGCACACACTCGTCTCTAGGAATACAGGTTTAGAATTCAGAGCTGTTGATTTTGCTTTCCTTTTAATGATCATACACCTGTCACTTATTTTCATTATTACTCTGTGTACCATACCTTGTTCTTGCTGCTCTCACATGACTGTAAACTGGCCAAGATCTGACTCTCTATGGCTTGTACCCATGCATCTCTTTCTTCGTACGTGGTAGCTTCAAAGTGCCATGTCTGGCCGGTGAGAGAGACAATGATAAACTCAAAGTTTTCTTCTTGTTCTGAAAAAAACATGCAATAGGAAGAAAAGCTGTAAGTTTAAAGATACGATAGCTAGGCTCAGACGATTTCGTCTGACGAGCGTTTCTGCAATGGAACAAGCAAATGCAGGTCTGGACATTAGAGGTTTGAGGCTAGATAAATCCAATCACTATCCATCAGAGAACGACTTGTGGATCCACTGCTTTTTCTCTCCGAATGTTATGTAGATAAAGTATCTTTTTGGGTAAATATGCAGTTCCTGTGTGCATCTGGTGTCGAGTCCATACATTTGTCTAACACAAAGTGGCTAACAAGCATTACTTAGACTTGAACCTGAGGTGCTATTGTAAAAACCAGTGCGTCACAAATAAAAGATGCATGGACTATAAAGAGCCGACAATACAGAAAATTTGACAATTTATCCTTTTTCTTCAAGGAGTTGTTTACAGAACAGATATATTAAAAGCGGATATGTACATTTTCTTGTCTACAGCATCAATACACTGGGTTATAATACAGGATTAAAATCAGTTCAACCTATTCAACATTCATGTTCGACATGGGAGATGAGAAAATGATCTGAGAAGCTAGCAGAAAGGGTCAACGAAATATCCTTAGGGCTACTAGAGTATAAGGACAAGTATTCAGGCCAGAGGACCGCAGTGTATGAAAATACCAGCAGAACTGAACTAAATGGACACATACGTTAACTACACATGGGACACCAAAGTCAAATTAAAAAAAATCAAGGAAGCTGAAACAGAGCAAAGTGGAATTGGCAAGGGCAGGCATGAAGCATGAAAGGAACAGAATAATAGAGCACAAACTTCTGGTGAACATCAGCCATAATGGGCTTTAGAAAGAGCATTTACAATCGCTTGTCTGCTAATGACTTATTATATATTCACAGCCATGAAACTCCTGCATTACCTTGTCATCCATAAGCATGCGAAGGTAAGTGACAAATCTAGCACTAGCTCTAAAGACAGTACTGCTGCTCACGGGCAGTCATTTTCCCCACCTAGGGGCCAACTGGTTTTCTTTGATAAACTCCATGGTAGCAAGGCCAGTGCCTACACTGCTTTAACGAAGTTTCAAAAAATAGCAGAAGGTTACTTTGCACCTTGAGGTGAGAATAAACACGGAGGTGAAGGTTATTTCCAGGTGCATGAGCTGCATGAAGCAGCATTTTTCCTATAAAAAAAAGTGTGTGGGATAAGTGGGAAAAGACAGATAAGAGAAAAGATGCAACTGTACAACTATAACCACTTCTCACTCTAGCAACTTTGTGTTAAAAACAAACAGGTAGAATAATTAGCCAAAATGTTATGATTAAATCATGCAAACAGCCTCATTTATCCAACAGAGCTTTCAAGAGTTTATGAGGAAGATGTAAGAGGAACCACTCAAAAACCAAGCTAAAAACCTTCAGTCCCGGGTGCTGTCTCCTGCAGGCCAACACGTCTTCTGCTTACGCAGAAGTGGCATGGCACATGGCCAGTGGAGAGAGGTACAGGGATTTGCAGAGTTACACATACTTTAATGAGAACAGGGAATTATAGTGAAGGAAGAGAACATGAAAAACTGAATCCCACCTGAAGCAGCCCCCTGGCAGAGTCCAATTTAGGAATTCACCATTTTTAGGCCTTTTGATGGCTTTAACGCAATAACACTTTGTACTTCGGAAGTCTTACTAAAGGAGGATTTCCAAATGCTGGTCACTAAATGTTCAGAAAACCCTTCTATATAAACTATGCAGCGTGGGTGGTACTAAGACGTGTATCTGTACTTCTGGGATCCTGCAACACGCAGTAACACAAAGGCCCTTCTCAGCCTCGCTCCATTTTCAGCACCTCCTGCCCTCTCCTTCAGCCCTTCCCTTCTCCACTAGCAGCCCGGCTCCAGGCTGCAGCCTACCTTCCCGGCACCTCTCCCCCCGATCACGTGCCATACCACTCCTACGAAAGCCAAAAGTTTGGTGTAAGCTGAAGGAGCTGCCTACTAGAGAAAAAAAAAAGTCATTTTGTCAGCTCAAGTTAAAAATTCCCCACACTTCCTTTTTAAGCCGGGAGGGATGCAATGACACAGAGGAGCACAAGAAGAGAGGAGACCTCTCCAGCGCACTGGCAGGGCTGACTCTTCAATGCCTAACGACTCCGCAAGAATATACAGCATATAGCTAATACTCCGCAAGAATATACGGTACATGTTTAGAGAGTCTCTCTGCACTAATCCTGTACCAGTTCATCCCACCATTTAAGTACTAGGTGACTTTCCAGGATCGCAATTCCAGACCTTAAAAGAAATATATACAGTCAAGACTGTTGAAACCTCCTGTCTCTGATTTGCCATTAATCCTTATTATATACGTGAAGCTGGCTTGCCCAAGCAGGGCTGAGGACAAACAAACCCTACAGTGCAGCCAGCGCACCGTTCAAAAGCGAGCCTGAAACACCGTCCTTTGTTTCTGAGGCTGAAACACTGTCCTCTGTTTCTGTGTACCACTCACAGCGGTACCTCTGCAAGCTTTGTTTTCCAGAAACGCTAAACAAAGTTTTTCCCCTGCTTACGGGAGACCTACGGCAGAGGACACAAACCCGCCTGGAGCGCAATTCAGGAAACACCTCCAGGCATCTCCTGTGGGCGCTCTTTTATATGCTGAGTCTCCTTTTCCCAAAGGAGAGGCTCCCGTGCTTCATCTCCTGACCTCTTCTGCTGTGAACAGCAGGCACAGTGACAAAAGCTGTAAAGGCCTTGCACGGCCTTTGTGGCTCGGGGTCGCAAAGTCCATGTAATGTGCCAGTGAGTCTGTCCCAGCACGGCCCCACCCTGGGTTATGAGGGCTGCAGCGTGCTTTAAGGCTGGGCTGGAAGGACATTTTCATTTCATCAGTAAGTTAGCTGAAAACTTGGTCATTGCTGATGATACATTGCGAACACGCGAGTTTTCACTCTCTGGTATCGGCTGAAGCTTCAGGTTTACTCCCTTAAAAGCTCAGATGCAAGGCAACTGTGCTACACAAAGATGTGTTAGGTAATTTTGTGCTTAAATACAGCGGATTTTTTTGGTAAGTACAATTGTGAAAGCAAGCAGCAGCGCATGCTCCGTGTCATCCACAGGCCAATGCCTACAAAAGACGAGTAGCGAATGCGTATGTCCTGACCCAGCCCATACACGAACAGGAAAATCCAGGCAGCAGAATGAAATTGTTCGGTTTCACTCTTCAGTAAAATCAGAGGTTGTGCTATTTAAATCCCTGTGAGCCCAATCACAAAATTTTATTAAACAGTTTTCCATGTTTAACAGTTATTCACAGAAAGGTCCACTATAATAGTATTTTAGCACCATCAACCTGTCGAAATCAACCTGCCCAATTACTCCAAACTACATTAATAACACCAGATATTACACTAATTGTGTCCAGTTTCTATGCAGACGAGGCCCCGCGGGGCTAATTTTGCCTCCTCAGGGGCAAGCAACTCAGCCATCAGCCTGATTTCACTAGGAATCCCTCCTCATTACACAAGTCCAGGCTGTCAAACTTTTTTTTTCAAAAAAGGTTAATGGGCCAATCAGTCATCAATTATTTCCTGGCAGGCCAGAGGACAAAGGGTTAAAGTGCCAAGAAGCAGCTGCAGCTGATTTCCATTTGGAAGTTATTATCAACAGGAGATGTCTACAATGTTGTTGTTTGTTTTGCTTTTTTTAAAGTGCGAAGGGGTGGCTAGGACGGGAAATGAGCTGAAACTGTAAGATTATGATGATACGGAACCTAAAGCATAAGAGGCTATTTTATTTTTTTTAGTGGAAGTGGGCATGCAATCAGTGAATTTTAGGAAAACCACCGCACCACTTCCAAGCAGCTACACAGTACCACCGTTTATACTACACATGCTGTTTTCGCCACGATCATTTTCATAGTACAGTTACTGCATTTAACCCAAGCTAACATTTATTTTGCTCTGCCAAAAGACAGACATCGCTACAGCCCACCCACTCATGGAAAGCAAGATACACAATTTCTTACAAGCAAAGGATTGTGCAAGGGAAAACAAACATTTAGGCACGGTCTCACTGCATTCCTGTACCAATGCCCATGTTTATTGTATGTAACGGAGATCAGACTTAGAAAACTACACTGGAAATAACTACAGGATACAATTAGTCTATAACTTGTTCCAGAGGACTCAATTAAGTCTACTAAATTGTAGG